GTTTCACCATATTGACCAGCTGGTCTCAAACTCCTGACCTCAAGTGATCCACCCGCCTCTGCCTCCAAAAGTACTAGGATTACGGGGTGTGAGCCACTAAGCCTGGCCATGAAACCCTTATGTTCTTTTTCTACTCTAGCGTTAGCCTTTGGAGTTCAGACGGATATTGCATTAAATTAACTCTCTAAATGAAGGAAAAATATAATGACCTAAAATTGCTCTTGTGTAATCTTTGTAGCCTGGTTCTTTTGGTGGAAGACAGTGTTTACTCCAGAGTATGAAGTTTTGGGGTTCTTATTTTAAAAGGCCTTCATATATCCATATTATTGATAACCTACATCTACTTTCTGAGCATTTCCGGCGTCCCATTCTGATGGCTAATGGAGACCATCCGATATCTCTCGCCTTGTCTTGTGATCCTCTCTGATTTCCTCATCTGCTTTAGTGACACTGAGCTGCTTAGGTTCCGTGCCCTGAAATTGCTGTTTTCCCCTCTGCATGGAAGGCCTTTGCCTGGAGAACGCCTTCCCTCTGTTTCAGGCTGAGCTGTGCATGATCTCCTTCAGGAAGTCTTCTACTCAGGGGACCTTCCTCCTCTGCTCCCCAGTAGCTCTACGCAGCTTGCCAGCACTTTGCCTACCACGTCATATTGTGCTGACGCGTTCACATCTCTTAGAAACACTCGCCTGGGATGAACTCAGCCACCCACCTTCTCCCTCCCTTGCTGGAGAAAATCCCGCAATAAGGCAGATGATATCTTCATCACCTCCTCCTCACCTATCTCAAAAGGCCTTCTTGTTTCTCCAAGAAGTGTTTGTCCCATTTGTAATGATTCTTTCATTCATTCTTCCTGTTAGTTGGGCATGAAACTTCTCATGCCCAAACCCTCTGCAAGTGACCTTGTTTTGTGCTTTATGGGAAAAAATAGCCATCTGGTAGCAACTCTCAGCTTTTTGTCACGAAGCCCACAAATCCATTTGTACTGGCACCCCTATTCTCCTTCTATCACAGGGAAGGAAGGATCTTGACTTCTATGACAGGCCAACCCTCCATGCACGCTCAGCATCCCATCTCCTCCCATGTCAGAGACTGTGAACCATTCTTTCTGGATTCTTCACATGGGCATTTAGACATCCTCTCATCTCTTAAATACCAGCTTTCTGTCTTAAAAGAATACATGCCTTCACTTTATGGCATGTTCTCTTTCAGCAGTCATCCTCTCTCTGTACTGCCCTGCATGGTCATTCTTTGAGGAAGGGCTGTTCCCCACATGGTCTCAGCTGTCAGTCATAAATCAGCTCCAGTCTGGCCCTTTCTGCCACCTTGCCATGGATATTGCTGAGCTCTCATTCTTTCTTTAACGTCTCTGCAGCCCACACAGCTGAACTCCTTTCTTTTTTTTTCTTTCTTTTTTTTGAGGGGGAGGGGTACAGAGTTTCTTTCTGTTGCCCAGCCTGGAGTGCAGTGGCGCTGTCTTAGCTCACCGCAGCCTCTGCCTCCTGGGTTCAAGCGATTCTCCTGCCTCAGCCTCCCGAGTAGCTGGGATTACAGGCGCTGTCTGGCTAATTTTGTATTTTTAGTAGAGATAGGGTTTCTCCATGTTGGTCAGGCTGGTCTTGAACTCCTGACCTCAGCTGCCCACCTCAGCCTCCCAAAGTGCTGGAATTAGAGGCATGAGCCACCATGCCAGACCTGAACCTCTTTCTTCTTTTATCCAACACCTTGGTAACTTTCTCCAGTCTCATTGCCATAGTTTCCGTCTGTTCTTCCTTTTCCTGTTCTAAGTACTTGGTCTGAGACATTTCCATTTTTCTACTGTCCTACCTATCTACTTGCATGACTTCAAATGCCATCTACTTGCTGATGAGGACAAAAATTGGCATCTCTGACCTAGGCGTCTCTTCTAGACTGTGGACCTGTATCTCTGACAGCACGTTTTACTAAGCTCTTGGGCCTTTCTCAGCATCTTGGATTTAACATGAGCCCTTAGCGTGTGCTCCCAGCTACTTTCCCTCAAGATTTTCCCTGCTTCGGTAAATAGTGTCCTTTATTTTTTATTTTTAAGTTTTTATTTTTATTTTTAGGATTTGTGAGTATATAATAGGTATATATATTTATGGGGTATATGAGATATTTTGATACAGGCATGCAATGGATAATAGTCACATCATGGAAAATAGGGTATCCATCCCCTCAAGCATTTATTCTTTGTGTTACAAAAATCTAATTATACTCTTGTAGTTATTTTAAGATGTACAATTTAATTATTTTGCCTGTAGTCACCCTGTTGTGCTATCAAATACTAGGTATCATTCATTCTTTCACACTATTTTTTTGTACCCATTAACCATCCCTACCTCCCCCCTACTATACTTCCCAGCTTCTGGTAACCATCCTTCTACTCTCTATCTCCATGAATTCAATTGCTTTGATTTTTGCATCCCACAAATAAGTGAGAGCATGTGATGCTTGTCTCTCTCTGCCTGGCAATAACTAGTATTGTTATCTCTTCATTTGTTCATGCCAGAAATCTGGGAGGGATCCTGGAAATCTTCACCTTTTCCATTCGGTCAATCTCTCATTACTTTGACTCTACCTGCAAATATCTCTCAAATCTGTCTACTTCTCTTTACTTCTGTTGTTGGTTGCCTTCATTTGAACCACCACCATCTCTTCCTGTACCACTCTAGACGCCTCCTAACAAGTCTGTCTTCCAGTTTTCTGTACCTCTCATCTCTCCCTCAGCAGCCAGAGTAATCTTGAAAAGCTTTAATTATCATTGTCAATTCACTGCCTAAAAACCTCCTGTGGCTTTGCATTGTACCCCAAATAAAATGCTAACCCTTTCCCAGAGCCCACAAGGCCCAGCACGCTCTGATTCCCTGCCATCACTCAGCTCTACGGGCTCACTTAATTGCTCCTTATGCTTCAGCCATTCTGGCCTTTTGACATTCCCTGTAATGCTCAAACTCCTCACCTTCATCCTTTGCCTCTGCTGATCTCAGCAGGAAACAATTTCCCTTGCCCTTTGCACCACAGATTCCTTCTCACCTTTTAGGTTTTAGCTTAAATGTCACTACTTTGAAGAAGCTCTCTTTGCACACATTTCTAATGCATTCCTCACTGTACCCCTACTTTTCTTCATTGGAAGGAATTACTAAAATGTGCTCTCATATATCTCCTTAGGTGTTCATGTATCTGGTTTGTATCTTCTCTACCAAACAGTAATTTCCACGAAAGCAGGGGGCTGTGCTTTTTTTGTTTGTAGCTATATCCCTATCACCTGGCATTGCATACTCAGCAGCTATTTATCTCGTAAAATAGGCACATATTTAAAGTTTATTAAGATGGCAACTTTGGGGAAGCACCTCTTTGGTACTTTTATTGCCATGTTGTGTGGTAGTTACGCTTGGTGGGTTCAGACTTACGTGACTTGGAATCCCTATTACTATCTTGTGTGAACTTGAGCAGTTGTTAGCTTCTGTGATCCCTGCAGTTCTTTTTGGGCCGACTTCTTTCTTGAGTGTACCAGTTTTACAGAAGACATATTATATGGAGGTTTATTTGGGAACACTACTTGGGTAGATCCATATGTGGGAACTTAAAAAATGACACAGGTGCTCATATTAGTGTGTCTTAAGTTAATCTATGAGACACTGTGTATAAATCGATTAATGTGCTAGCACTTCTTGTATCTGCACTCTCAAATGGAATGTGGGGCATTCCATACTGGGGAGTCAGGATTCCTGGCTTGTGGTGCTTTGTAGGACTCTTTGGTTTGCCATTGCTGTAGGTCGCATGGTCTAAAATGTAGAGAGGATAAAAATGATATTTTGAAAGATGATCGCTTTTCCCTGGCTAGTTGTTGCTGTTAATTCTTTTAGATCTCTGTTGCCCCAGGTATTTTACACCCAAGCAGCAAACTATCCAGGTGGGAGTGAGGGGAATCCAGGGGTTAGCCTGGGGTAGAAAGTTGAAACTGAGCATCTTGAAAGTGGGCATAGTCGCTTATTTTGAGTGTTCCCTACCTTAGAGTATGAATGGTCTCTTTGGGAGAAACCCTCACATAATGAAACACTGATGAGGAGCCTTTGGTTAAATTAAGAATCTTGATCTATTCCAAATCACTTATTTTTTCTGTAATGTTAAGCTTGGATTTTTGAGCACCTTTCTAAAAAGAGGGATGACACATTCTTAAATAATGTTTTGAGATTTTCTTGTATATTTTGGATAGTTCTGGTCTCCTGGAAACAAAGGCTGAGAAGCCACTACCTACCAGTGTGTTGTTACTAAGTATGTTTTCTTTCGATGAATATTTTCTTTTATTTGCATTTTCAGCATTTTGTGACTTAACATGAAAAGTCCCAAACCAGCCAACTTAAGAAATAAATGTGATTGTGGTTGGAGTTTGTGTATGGCTTCTCTCATGTGAGCTTTCCTGATGTCATGCTTGCTAGCATGCCCAAGCATTTGGCTTTTTCGTGAGCCTCCAGTGACTCGACTTTGCTAATATACCTTAAATCCTTAGGAGGTTTCTGTAATGAAGGGCAGACTGGTTGTATTTGAACAAGTAGCTACAGTCCTAGTTCTTTACATAATGTAGTCTGATTATCAATAAAGGAATGTAATTGAATTTTAAATTTCTAAGGAGGGGGAAGGAAAAAACAATCTCAAACAGAAGTGTTCTGTTAATGAATGTGATAGACCCCTTTGTTGTTTACAGACAGCCCTCTTGCTGTTTTGTGGAAGAGAGTTGGGGCTGTGTTGCACATTTCACTGGCAATTTGCCCACCTCCTCTTCCCTGAAAATATTTATGGAGTTCTAGTGCTTTAATAAGTTGAGAAGTGATTTAATTGTTGCATTGGCAGAGTGAGATAAAGCCGCTAAATATGTTGTTCATTTTCTTTCTGGGTGGGGTGGAAGAGGGAAATGAAATACTAATTTTTTCCTTTTTGGAAGCCTAATGCTGTGCTCTTTTATCATCACTCTTGTTCTCTAGGCATTAAGTGTGACTGAAACCCTGATTAAACCCTTGGAAAAATTCAGAAAAGAGCAACTTGGAGCTGTAAAGGTTTGTGTCTAATTTGAATACACTCATAAACAGAAAACATAGATGCCTCTGCTGCTTCATTGTATACTTTATTCACATTTGGCAGCTCTGAAGGAGATGCCGGAGCAAACCATCTGTTGTTTTATGTTCGAAATGTGCTCTTCCCTCTTTGGGGGATATGGAATTGAAAACAAAACAAAAACACCTGGACAAGGTAGTAAAACCTCTAGTAATCTTCTTGGGCTACACCTTTCCATGTAGAGTTTTAAAAATACCTGTAACCAAACAACACATTTGCTCTGAATAGAAGGAGCTTATCACTGGGGGGAGTATAGTTATTTCTGTGCGCACCTCAGTTTTATGGAGGAATGTAGCATTACAGGAGGGTTTAAGATTATAGACGCTGCCACACCGTGATGCCACTGAAACTAGGAAGAGACTATTAAGTATTGGGATGTAATTTCCTTCAATTTAACAAAAATTTAGTGAGTCTCTATTGTGTGCCAGTATTGTGATGGTATTGTGCATTATATTGTGTGCTGTATAGTGTTATGCTGGGGATTCAAAGGTGAGTGAACCACAGACTCTGTACTCAAGGATCTGGGATTTAACTGTGATTTCCAGAAATAATGCAGCGGTTTTGCCACAGGGAGCCTGGGATATATTTAGCAACTTATTTAAAATGTGCAATCTGAGTTTTGAAATTACCCCAGAGAAATAATTTCCACCAGTCTTTCCTGAATTTTGTGTATGTACTTGAGAAAGAAAAAGTAACATTTGCCTGTTGTTTACCGTTTTTGGCTTGGCCCAAGGAGAGGGGAATTAATACCAATTTTAGGTTGAGAAGGGAGTTTTTATATTTGTATTTTTTTCCCCCACATGGCTGGGAATGTGAGTTTTTTTTTTTTTTTTCCTTTTTTCCTCTTCCTGAAAGAAATGACTGAAATCCCTTGGTGGAAATAAACACTGTGGCCTCAGTAGCTTAACCACACAGATGAACCCAAGGAGTTCCAGCTCTGTAACTGCTGTTTATGGGATGAATTATCATTTAAGTGACTTGTGACAATATTGGACATTTCTTTTTGGCATACCGTATTACAGTTTTTAATGAAGGGCTATGAACTGAGGCTCAGCCCCTGTGGACAGTGGGAGATCACTGGGGGCACCACCCCAGGCTCCTTCCTTGGATTGTTTGCCATGCTGCAGGCAGCTGGGTTGTCCCCTCTGGCTTTACAGCAGGAGATTGGAGGTCAGCTTTCACTTCTGCGACCTTGACTAAGTCATTGGCTTTAGTTTCTTATCTGTCAAATGAAGAACTTGGGGGATCTGACTATTGTTTCATAGTTTTATGGTTTTGTTTTGATTGTGTCTCTAAGCTGTTCGAAAGTTTGTTGCATTTTGGTTCATTCTCTTTTAACATTTCATTGGCAGGTATTCTTTGTAAACAACATCCATTTCTTATTTTTCTCATTTGAATTGGATGGTGCTTACATGTGTGAAGGTTATATTATGGAAATGAAAACTGAGTGCGAGTGAATCTATTTACTTTTACTTGCCATCTACTCTACTGGAATTTAAAAATGTCTGACCTTGCATCTTCTATTGACTCATTTTTCCCCTTAAACTTTCCAGCTTCTGATGTTAACATTTGTTCAGAGTATATCCTGCGAAGCAACTTGCACAATCAGTAATCCTTTTAAAAGGAGAAATGGTTACAATAGTTTATTCTATGCTTTAAACTATTTAATGACCAAATTCTTTCCTGAAGTCCTATTTATGTATCCTTCCGTGTTCTTCTGGCTTCAGGTTTATAAAGAGTTGGTGTTATGTGCAGTCTTGCTCAGTATGGTGTGTGTGTTGACTGTTGTACCTGTGGAGGTCACCTGTGAAGAGCCAGTCATTGTGGGTCATAGGGAGAAGCCCTTTTTCCTGGCAGTTTTGTATACCATAATAAACAGTAGAGAAGGGTGGTTGTCTGTATTATACAACAGTATGTAAACTATGTAAACATCTGTCCTTTCCATTAGGTTGTTAAATCTTTAAAAGACTGTGCTTTTTTTTTTTTTTTTAAATTCTCAACCAGCCCCTACCCTGCCTTAAAACATAAAGTATCTAATAAGTAGCCTATCCAACTGATAATTCTAGAAGGAACAGGAAAGGGTTTAAGTTTGGGTATTTGAATTACTTTCCACATCTGTGCTGCCTAAACATTCAGTCATATTTTGGCAAGCACACAGTCTTGTTCCTCTGATTAAATCTGCTTACATGGGATACTTCAGAAAGACTTTACTCTCGTAGGTTAAAGAGCTTTTTGTAAACAGCATAAAACAGTTTTCACATGGGAAGTTAAGAAAAAGGTCTTTAAAAGTTGACCACATCAGAATTTTTAGATATGGGGGTCAACATTTTGATCTTTCCCCGTCTCCTGTTTCCCATCTGGTAATGTTGTAACCCTTGCCTGAAACTCTTTCAGTTCCCTGTGCTCTTGCCTTCTCCAGTTTCCAGAAGCCCAGTTACGTGTTTAACTGTGGTTTAAACGTATTCTAAGTGGCTAGGTGGTTTTTGTAAATTGGATTTTGAAAAGCCCCAAGGTATTGTCTACTGTTTTGCTTATATTTGGATATGCTCTCCTTGAGCCCTGTTTGGTTTGGACGTATCCCTCCATTTTATAGGTTCTGCTGCATTTTCTTACATGCTTGCTAGGTTCTAGCCTTTGTTCAAAAAGCCCATTTGCCATCGCAGTGAGAGGTGAAGCCGGCTGGGCTTCTGGGTTGGGTGGGGACTTGGAGAACTTTTCTGTCTAGCTAAAGTATTGTAAATGCACCAATCTGTGCTCTGTGTCTAGCCAAAGGTTTGTAAATGCACCAATCAGCGCTCTGTAAAAACGCACCAATCAGCGCTCTATGTCTAGCTAGAGGTTTGTAAACGCACCCATCAGCACTCTGTAAAGTGGACCAATCAGCAGGACATGGGCAGGGCCAAATAAGGGAATAAAAGCTGGCCTTCCGAGCCAGCAGCTGTATCCCGCTCGGGTCCCTTTCCATGCTGTGGAACCTCTGTTCTTTCGCTCTTCACAATAAATCCTGCTGCTGCTCACTCTTTGGGTGTGCACTACCTTTATGAGCTGTAACACTCACTGTGAAGTTCTGCAACTTGACTCCTAAAGCCAGTGAGACCACGAACCCACTGGGAGGAACGAACAACTCTGGACATGCCACCTTTAAGAGCTGTAACACTCACTGCGAAGGTCTGTGGCTTCACTCCTGAAATCAGCAAGACCACAAACCCACCAGAAGGAAGAAACTCCGGACACATCTGAACATCTGAAGGAACAAACTCCAGACACACCATCTTTAATAACTGTAACACTCACCGTGAGGGTCCATGGCTTCATTTTTGAAGTCAGCGAGACCAAGAACCCACTGGAAGGAACCAATTCTGGACACAACAGGACACAGGTTGTTCCCTGATTCATCACATCAAGTGACTATTCAGAGTTTTTCCAAGGCCTAGCTCAGTTCTTATTTTCTTTTGAAGCTCCTTCACCCTTCTTGAGCTTGGCACTTATTGCCAGATATCCCACAGTACTTTGTGGGATAGCTACAGGAACCAGTACAGATCCTGAACAACATAGGGGCCAAGTACGTTGAGCAAAAACTCTGAGAAATACCAGAACATGGTAAGAGTTACGTGAGATAAATTGCTTTTTTGGACATTTGACCAAGTAACGAAAACGTGGGTTTGGGCAAGCAGCAGCACACAGATGTCAAGTGGATGCAACTAACTGTATCAGGAATAGAATCTGTTCAGCTGCTATCTTGGAAAGAGCCAATTACAATTTTATCCAATAGAAGAACAATTTTGAACAGAAAACGTAATAGATGTTCATTTCAAAAAGTACGACTTATCACCTAAGCCTACTACCAGACTATGACTAATACATTTTTTTTTTTTTTTTTTAAAGACTTTCATTCTGTTGCCCAGGCTGGGCTGGAGCCTTGAGCTCCTGGGTCAGATGATCTTCTGAGCAGCTAGGACTACAAGTGTATGCCACCATGCGTGGCTAATTTTAAAATTATTTTTGTAGGGACAGGGTCTCTGTGTCGCCCAAGCTGGTCTTGAACTCCTGGGCTCAAGTGATCCTCCTGCCTTGGCCTTCCAAAGTTCTGGGATTACAGGCTTGAGCCACTGCCCAGCCTTAATGAATACATTTAAAATACAGACTTCCAAAGATTCTGTAAATTACTATAAAACATGAGTAAAAAACCTGTCTGGATAATTTTTCATATTACATTATATTTAATAGAGGAGAAACAATATTGATTTAGTTTAATTACATTTCTTTCATTCGGTATAAAACACACTAGTGCCTATGATACAGCATAGTGTTAGAGGCCCTGAGATACAACTAGGAATTACAACACTGGCTGGCCTTCAAGAAGTTAGCAACTTTTTGTGAGACTGTCAAATAAGCAGTAAAAATATATTGTGAAAAGTGCTGTAATAGGGGAAAGCATAGGTGCCCTGGGACATACTCTACCATCTCATCTTTGGAGCACCAGAAAGTCTTTCAGGGAGACTTAATTCTTCCTGGTTTGAATCCTCTTTCAGTGCCTTAATTAGCCATATGATTTGGGGCAAGCGACTTAAAGCCTTTAAGTCTCAGTTTCCTGGTCTGTAAAATGAGACTTATGACACTTGTCTCAGGAGGTTATTGTGAGAGTTAAGTGAATTTGGTAATGTACTTGAAGTGTCTAGTTTGGGGCCTGGTATCCATAGAGTAATTTTATTATCCCATTCATGGCTTTCTCCCCATCACCTTGCCAAACAGGAATTGCTCAGCTTTTTGTCCATTCTCCGCATTCTGGGTTTAGGGGTGACAAGCCATAGCATGTGGCTTATGACCCTTATGGACAGAGAGTGCTAAGGCACTGGATTAGTGACTCTGGAGCCACCGCTTAGGAACGAGGTGCCACTTTGCCAGCGTTGGTGCTGCTGCAGTCCTGTGCTGGCCATTCACT